AACTCTCAAGAATAGTCAATTTCCCCCGTTATGACCTTCTAATGTATTAGTTACTTTGAAATGGGTAATAGGAAGACATAATTTTTCTCTGACTGCAGTTGTCATTACACACGAATACACACAAAGATCTATATGGACTCTGCTGTAATATGCAGCTTGCCAAGAGAACCTGAAACACAGACAGGATCAATGTTATAGTGCCCATCTATAAAAGGGGAAATCATAACAAACCAGGAAACTACAGACCACTCAATTCAACTTCTGAGGCAGGAAAGATAATGGAGCAAGTAGTTAAGGAATCCATCTGCAAAACCTGGAAGATAACAAGGAGATAGGTAACAGAAGCATAGATGCGTGAAGAACAGATCGTGTCAAACCAATCTGATAGTTTTCTTTGATAGGATGAGTCTTGTGGATAAGGAAGAAGCAGTGGATGTGGTATACCTAGACTTTAGTAAGGCATTTAATAAGGTCTCTGATGATCTTACCAATAAACTACGCAACTACAACTTAGATGAGGCTACTTACTATAAGGCAGGTGCATAACTGGCTGGATAACGGTTCTCAGAGAGTAGTTATTAGCGGTTGACAATCCTGCTGGAAGGGCATAAGAAGTGGGGTTCCACAGAGGTCTGTTCAATATCTTCATCAACCAATTCGATACTGGCATAGGGAGTACACTTATTAAGTCTGCAGATGAAATGAAGCTGGGAGGGGTTGCAAGTGCTTTGGAGGATAGAGTCATAATTTAAAATGATCTGGACAAACTGGAGAAATAGTCTGAGGTAAATAGGATGACGTTTAATAAGGACAAATGCAAAGTGCTCCACTTAGGAAGGAACAATCAGTTTCTCTCACACAGAATGGGAAGCAACTGTCTAAATGTCTAAACTGTTTCAAGGACTTAAAAGAGTGTTACAAGGAGGAGGGAGAAAATTGTTCTCCTTGGCCTCTGAGGATAGACCAAGAAGCAATGGGCTTAAACTGCAGCAAGGGAGGTTTAGGTTGGACATTAGGAAAAACTTCCCAACTGTCAGGGTGGTTAAACACTGGAATAAGTTGCCTCCGGAGGTTGTGGAATCTCCATCTCTGGTGATATTTAAGAGCAGGTTAAATAGACATCTATCAGGATGGTCTAGATGGTGCTGGGTCCTGCCATAAGGACAGGGGACTGGACTCTGACCTCTTGAGGTCCCTTCCAGTTCTAGTGCTCTGACTATCCGTGTTTCCCAAATGGTGCTCCGCAGAACCCTGGGATTCCGTGAAGTGGAACTCAGGGTTCTGCAATAGAATTCTATCCTCCGCCCCCTGCAGAACCCGTAGGCAGCTCTCACTGGGGCTTTGCCGGCAGGGTGGCCTTCTGGGGGCATGCGGCTTTGGCAAATCCATCACTCACTGCGGCTGCCCCACCTCCACGCACGATGCGGCCCCTCCTCACGAGCAGGACTGCCCTGTCCCGGTGCCTTGTAGCCTCCTCCTCCTCACGTGCAGGTGGCAGCTTGTTACAGCAGCCGCTGCTGCCAGGGGGGATGGAGTTGAAAGGGATGGGGTCTGAGGCGCGGAGTACCCGCTCCCCGACTTCGGCATT